CTGAAAGAATCTGCGATGTGAGGCGATTAACTAGTTCAGAGATTATATCCTCTAGTAGTTTGCCAAAAAAACGTGGAAGGCTAATAGTTCTGAAAGATTTGGACTTTAGAAGACGATGTCCAACAAGCAGGAAAGTATCAAGGCATTTATTGTAAAGTTTACGGAGAGTAGAAGCCAGTTTGAAAAAGAAATTTAATTGCTAGTTCATATTTTCATTTCCTTTTTCCGGCCAACACTCAAAGCGCGTAAAACTTGTAGCGAATGATGCTACGATTTGTACTGGACGAGGTTGGTGTTGATCACCTGTTTGCAAAGGGAAGAATTGTTACTGATGTGAATGCAGACTTTCAGATTTAAATGAATTCAACATTTACAAGAGAAATGAATTTCAACGCGTGAAATGTTTTATATATATATATATATATATATATATCTTTTTATGTAACGAACGACATATTTACGTGTATTCAAATAGTTTCAAAAGAAAGAAAAATGATTTTTATCCCCTGGCGGTTGTTCTTAGTTACTACATTCTGGAGCAAATAAAGAAGAGTATTTATTGTCTCGTCCTTTTATAATCCTGAAACGGCGACACCTAGCGAGCGTCTTTGCAGATAGGTGGGGGTAACCACCACAGACTAAACATGTCTGTGGTGTATTTCGGCATTCTTAACATGAGACGGAGATGACTACCGGCCGAGGAAGAATAAAGTGCATTGTTAAAATGATGCTATAAATCCCATATTCTTCGGTGAATTAAACTATTTCTTCGTATCCTCGTTGTTGTTAGCGCGACTCTTCGGTCGAGCCATTCTTCGGGTGTAATCTGTGAGGGGAAAAGAAGAGATAGCCTTGTTTCTTCTAGAAAAATAAATGCAAAAATGGCGACGGAACAATATTCATTCATATACAAGTCTGATTAATCCATCTCAACAACGCTAGGTATAACACGTGGCGTTATATACTACAGGCCTACTCATGGTGAAACTGAGGGCATATTTCAAAATGTTTGAATTTCAGAAACTTCGGAAAAGTTAAAAAAAATAGTATTAAGAAAATTAGTATGAAATATTACATTTGCTTCTATTTTATTTTTTTACGGTAAACTATACTAAAATTAACGTGCTTTTTGTAAAGTACATTTTAGAACAGAAATTATGAATTATGAATAACATTATCATAGAGAAACATATTGACAGATAGCGACAGCTATTAGGGAGATGTGATTAAATATATTTTAATGTTTAAAAAAATTATTCAGTATTATTATTGTTTAGGTAATAACCATTATAACATAGCAAAAATAACTATAGTGTGGAAAAAGGAATTTTCGACAATAAATGCATTTTTGCGTATTTATTGGTTATTTTTTAACTTTTATCAAAAACGACATTCTTGTACATGTAGTTAGGAATAATATTATACATTAATTACTAACTTTTTAATTAATAACTATTTATGCTCAGTTGTTGATATTAATAGTTATCTGCTGATGTGTTAAAATTTTGGTATAATGCAATAATAAAAATTTAAATTTCATCTCTCTAATAGATGTCGCAATCTGTGAATTAAGTTCATGTGACAAATAATAACATTTTGAAATAAATTTCAGTGTAAAAACAGAATCGACGAAAAAGTCTTGGGAAGAAAAGCCTCTGTTAAAAATTAAACATAAAACATTATTAAAATCAACTTTTTTGAGAAAGTCTTTGTAACATTTATAAGAGAAAAATCGAGTGAATAAATTATTTCTTTAAATCAAGTGTTACGTTTTTCGATTAAAACATTCTGCCTCGTCTAGATCATAATTTTGTTTTAATTTAATTTTGCAGTGTAAAAAGTTGCATTATTGTATCGGAACTGTAGTAAAAATTCAACATACTTTTATACATTTTAGAAACAGAAATACAGATTACGCAAGAAATTGAATTTTATCATTAGTGTATTTTCTTTTATGAAGTAAATAATTTCAAATGGAAGAATATTAAATAAACATAAAGTGAAAACATGTTAAATAAACTTCAAAGCAACAAGACTAAGATTGATAAATTACATTTTTAATGAATTTCGCACAAGAAAGTTTTTTTTTCTTTTTGCAATAAACGTAAAATAATACAGCAAGTTCAAAGAAAGAAACAATTTTTATACTTATTAAATAAAGTAAGCTTAAGTTACTCTCAGAGTAAAAGAAAACAAATTCTTTGAATTTCTTAAGCCACCTGCAGTAGCGAACAACTACAAGCCCAAAACGAAACTAAAATTAGAACGCGGAGCCTTTGAAATAAGCCTTCAGTTCTGGCCCTTAGTTGCACCATGAACAGGCCTGTCATATAAAACGCCATGATATAAGAAGTACACAACTGAGTCCTATTTATATCCGAGAGTGATTCCGAAAAAGCACCTTGCTAAATAAAAAAAAAAATTACATATGTGTTGAAATTCGTTCTAGCCTGATTTCTCAGCTTGGTCGAAAAGCCGATATCTGTCGCTTCCAGCAATTTCTTCACTCTCCAAAAACGTCCCCTGTCCGTTATCTGAAAGCAATCCCAACGTTTATTCATGTATTAATGACATTTTTTTGTAACCATTTTCATTTCTTCTTTTTCTTTGCCCGGAAGAAAGAAGTTTCCTTTGCTGTCTCGAAATACGCCTGACGATGGCTGAAGAATGAATCGTTCGAAATTTACTGCTAACAACCTCCAGTATATGGAGAACAGTCTAGGTGGTTAATTTAGCGATATAGCAACCCTTGTTGATATATTATTAACGTAATGACATATCAACAAATCACATAAAAATATTCCTTATGGAAATATATAAATATATTTAAAAATGGATTAATAAATCAAATTTCAAAAGTCGTTAAATTTTACATTTAATGTGTTTCAAATTAACCCACCTTGATATACATGAATAAATTTGATATATTTCAGAATATATTAAATATATTCTTAAATGTAAAGTCGAGATTAAGAGTGGGCGGTTTACGCTTGAATCTATACGCAGACTTTTCAGATTTATATTTCTGTCAATACACAATGATCGGGTTTATGCAGACAGACACTGGGCGGTTTAGGCTTGAGTTTACAGTCATTGGTGGGATTTATACTTACGTCTATACACAGACAATTGTCGGGTTTATACTTGAGTCTATACGCTGACTGTTTTTCCCTATGACATTTTCATTTATACAAAATATATACCTGAATATGGTCAGTGAAACGACTATCTATGTAAGGAAAAAACATCAAGAATTATTTAAATAGATTTAAATATAACACGTTGTATAGTGTTGAATATATATATATAGTCAGATTAATTTGCTAAATTAAATAAATTAATCTGCGAAATTTGCTTAAAATTTGTTTATTTTCTTATAAACTAATTTGCTTAATTATACAGATATAAAAGGTTGTATAGTGTTGAATGTGGCGCACGGAAAATTCGGTAATTTTGACAAAGTTGTAAAATTCAGCAACTGTGAAATAGAAGTCGATTGAAAATTGATTTTAGGGGCGTTTTGGAATGGGGGTTTAGGGGCTAAGCTCCCTCTCCACCTATATTTTTGAAATAGAAGTGAGGCTATAATAGTTGTTGCTTCTTATAAAAGAAATAACTATCTAAAACTTAAATTCTTTACTTTTATTTATTAAAATAATAATTTGAAAAGAAGATACAAAAACTTAACTCTAAGTTAGATAAATGGATTTTATTTGCTTGAAATCAATAGAGTATAGTAATTAAATAAATACTTATTTTTAAAAAATATTTATTTAAAATATTGGAAGTGGGGCTTAACCCCCAAATCCTCCTCCAGAAAGTACGACCCTGGTATTGTTGCAGTAGGTTTTTATCTGGACTGGAACCCATGATTTTGATACTTAATACTTATTTAAACGTATGAGGCGGGGGTTAGCAATTTCCAGGAAGTACAGCCTTGGTATTGTTGTAGCGGTGTTTTATCTAGACCCCCATAATTGATAATGATTTTTTTTAAAATATTAGAAGATATATATTATAAGAAGGAGGCCTAGCCCCCTAAGCCTCCCTTCTGCAAATACGCCCCTGGTACTATTGTAGTAGGGGTTTTTGGGGTTTTTTTTTGGGGGGGGGTATCTGGACCCCACGATTTTTCAGTTATTTAAAAATATTGGGAGGGCGGCTTAGCTTCCAAATCTCCACCCCAGGATGGCCCTAAAATCAATTTTCAATCGACTTTTATTTCATACTTACTGAATTTTTCTACCTTGTCAAAATAACCAAATCTTCCGTTACCGAATTTTCCTAAATTCGTTGAATATATACATATATATATATATATATATATATATATATATATATATATGAAGAAAATATACGCAAAAAACAAACAAAAATCCTTATATGCAATTATGCTGTTTTAATGTTAATGTAATGTCAACGTCGGACGTTTCGGTCTAATAAACCATCTTCCGGATGTCCATCGTCTTTGTCATGTTGAATTGATAATATTAATTATATTTTATGAATATATCCTGAAGATGGTTTATTAGATCGAAACGTCCGACGTTGACATTATATTAACATTAAAACAGCATAATTGCATATAAGGATTTTTGTTTATTTTTTCCGTATATTTTTCTTCATACTGTCGGATCTATATCCATATATTTGCTCACATATATATATATATATATATATATATATATATATAATCAGCTTAATTTGCTAAATAGTTATAAAGCCCTTTCGACGGATGCTAGTGGCTCATTGATGCCATTGTTTATTTTTACGGTTTAGCAACCTTTTGAAGATTATTTAAAGGCAGCAAATATTTTTAGGCTGTAAGATTTTTTTGGGAGATAATAATGATTTACTGATACAAGTCCTACTATTTAATCCATAGCTTGGAGGGAGTATTGACCCTAAGTGAATATAACGAACACGACTATAATTGGAACTCGGCTCTCCGAATTCTAATTTTCCAAGCTGTTATCCATTACACCACCCGCACATCCAAACATGCAGCACCTGGTATATTCTTCCGAAGCGTTCACGCATCTAGGTATTGACCAGGCTCGACGTTGCTTAACTTCGTTGATTGTACGAGAACCGGTGTTTCAACGTGATACGGCCGTGCACCTATTTGTTAGAAATAAGAAAAGTGTTGAAATAAAGTGGAATCGTGTAGTAAAATTGAATTATAATATGTATCTCTAGTTTTGTGCTCTTTTAAACATGGTTGGTTAAGCTAAGCATCAAACTCATAAATGTCCTAGTTTAAGTTATATATCTAACCGTGCAGGCTGAAGTTAGTATATTTGTGTACAAGGATAAATGCCCTGTTTCTGTACAACAGTCGTAAACCTCCACCTGAACACGTGCGCCCTAATTAAGAACATCGAGTGCTCAGCTAGCGTCTTTATATTGAAATATACACCTGAAGTAATTTTCCTTCAGAATAGACATGCAAGACTTTTCTCCCAACCCTATCACTCTTCGCTCTCTTTCACGCACACTATCTTAATTTCATATTTATCTAGCTATTTCAGTTTGTTTATATCGATCTATCTCAGTGTGTTCATATCGATCTATCTATGTATCTATTTCATTGTGTTCATATCTATCTATCGATCTCAGTGTGTTCATATTTATCTATCTCAGTGTGTCCATATTTATGTATGTATGTATGTATGTATCTATCTATCTATCTATCTATATATATATATATATATATATCTCAGTGTGTTCATATCTATCTATCTATCTGTCTCAGTGTGTTCATATCTATCTATTTCAGTTTGTTCATATTTATATCTACTTTAGATAGATATGAACTTATATATCTGCTTATCTATCTCAGTTTGTTCAAATCTGCTTATCTATCTCAGTTTGTTCAAATCTGCTTATCTATCTCAGTTTGTTCATATCTGCTTATCTATCTCAGTTTGTTCAAATCTGCTTATCTATCTCAGTTTGTTCATATCTGCTTATCTCAGTTTGTTCATATCTGCTTATCTATCTCAGTTTGTTCATATCTGCTTATCTATCTCAGTTTGTTCAAATCTGCTTATCTATCTCAGTTTGTTCAAATCTGCTTATCTATCTCAGTTTGTTCAAATCTGCTTATCTATCTCAGTTTGTTCATATCTGCTTATCTATCTCAGTTTGTTCATATCTGCTTATCTATCTCAGTTTGTTCAAATCTGCTTATCTATCTCAGTTTGTTCATATCTGCTTATCTATCTCAGTTTGTTCAAATCTGCTTATCTATCTCAGTTTGTTCATATCTGCTTATCTATCTCAGTTTGTTCATATCTGCTTATCTATCTCAGTTTGACAGAATGATAGATAAGCAGATATGGACAATGTTCATATCTATGTCGGTTTGTTCGTTCGTAACTGTCGATCTATCTATCCCGGTCTTTTCCTATCTCTCTGTCTTATGTTGTTCATATCTATTTTAGATATGAACAAACTCAGATAATCTATCTATCTATCTATCTATCTATCTATCTATCTATCTATCTATCTATCTATCTATCTATCTCACTTTGTTCATATTATATCGATCTTCGTGTTATGCTCTCTTTTTTACTTCGTGCCATTCACTTTCTTTCTCTCTCTATGTAATTCTTTTTCTTCCTCTCACTCTTTATGACATTTTCTCTTTCGTCTCATCCTATCACTTTCTTTCTTAATACGTCTCTCTCTCTCTCTCTCTCTCTCTCTCTCTCTCTGTTCGTGTCGTTCCCGCTTTCATTCTCTCTCTTGCATTTTGTCGTTCTGTATCTTCCTCTACCACTTCGTATTTCTCTCTCTATCTATCTATCTATCTATCTATCTATCTATCTATCTATCTCCCTCTTAGTGGCATTAACTTATTTTCGATTTCATCGTTCTCTCCCCCCCCCACTGCCTCCTTATATTACTTCTCTATCTCCCTTTTTCTCTGTCATTCTCTCGTTTTTTTTGTTTTTTGTTTTGTTTTCTCTTAATGTGTCACTATCTCTCTCTCTCTCTCTCTCTCTCTCTTTACTTGTCATTATCTCTTTTCTTCTTTGTTCCGCTTAGTGTCTGTCTCTTCATATCATTACCGCTTTACTACTCTCTATTCTACTCTATACATCCTTGTGTCTTTCTCTTATCTCATCTTCCTCTTTCCGTCACATCTCCCCCCCCCCCGGCGATTTATATGAATAATCTGGGGCGGGGGGGGGGGTTAGAAATAAGGAAATATCGGGAGTAGAATTGTCTATGCAAAAGGTAAGTTTCATACGTGGTTAGCCTCGCTGTGGTTTATTTTATCTTTCTGGCAAGCAGAAAAGTGTTGTTCGTGTTTTCAGCTCACGATATGACTTCGCCATTTCTTACGGTCTTTCCAACTGGCCTGTAGAGAGATATAAAATTAAATTCTTCTCTCGACTAAATCTCCCGTCATGCAATAGGAATGAATGCAAATACAGAGTATTTCATTAGAACGCTTTTTCATGCTTATGTCCTTCCGTTTCTTAATAAGCAGGTCAAGATACACAGCCGAAAGGTGAACGGATATATGCCGGCACGAACACACGAAAGTAAAAACTAAAGGCAACTATCTTCCAAGGCCGATTAAACATCCGTGCAGCACAAAACCCCGCAAGCATATTGGGAAGATGCTATAAACTTGAGTAGATTTGTTTAAAAAATAAAAAAAACTTGCCGTCCGTTTCTGATATCAAAAGAGAGATTTCTTCGACGGCAGAAAGTCAGGTTCTTCCTCATGAAGAATAAGCTCAATACCAATGACAGCAGTGGTGGCTGGCCGCTCCTATCTGAGTATGCCTGTCAACTGGGGAGGCTGTCCAATCCCTGTTAGAGACACCTGCTCAGGCGCATTTGTGTTTGTTCAAAACCCATAGAGCCCACCTGTGGTCTATACGGCAACTATGCTGAGATGACCTTAGTTACAGTTTTTCTGAGAGATCGCATTATCTGGCGGGATCAACACTTTGAACAAAGACCAGTATACTGAGAATCTCGGTCACGATGACATGTGACTTCGTGCTAGCTGAACCCTCGACGGTTCCCAATTAATTGTGTCTATCCAATTTCACTGATAAGGTTTGGGTCAAAGCACTTTCAGAAGATCGCATCCAAGACTAATAACGTCAAGAAGTCACCTTCCTGATAAATCGACCATGATGAGATTCGACCCCGGGTCTCATGATCGGAAAGCAATTAGCTAGCTAACCATCGTTCTATAGCTGTCGTGATGGTGATTTTAGAAACATCACTAGCGTAATGATTAACTTGTTTGATTTCCTGAAGATTGTGTTCAAGCATGAAATAGACTGTCAGCACTCGGTGTTGATCTCAGTGTCCACATTTATATTTACATATGTACTCTCCCTAATTTTGGCTACTTTACCTATAAATATAGCATACCTTAAAACACATACATACATACATATATATATATATATATATATATATATATATATATATATATATATATATATCATATTTTCATTATATATATATATATATATTTTCATATATATATATATATATATATATATATATATATATATAAAATATATTATATATATATATATATATATATCATATTTTCATCATTATATATATAAATATAATCATATTTCCATCATATATATATACACATATATATAATCATATTTTCATCATATATATATATGTATCAAATTTACATTATATATAATCATGTATCCATCATATATATATAAATACTCAAAAATCGAAAACCGAATAGAGTATATAAAAAAATATACAAAATAAAAAATAAGCCAATAAATAAGAGAAGAACGTAAAATTAATCCAAAATAAATAAACAAATTACAAATCGCTCCCGCTAAAATAATCGTTAGAACCAATAAAAATAAATATAAATAAGAAAAAAACAAGTAAAATAAGCGACCTAAGCAACCCCCACGAAAATGTTTTACTACGTTAATAAAACATCGAAAAGAATAAATAAATATATAGAATAAAAAATGAACATAAAAACAAATAAAATAACCCAAATAAATAAATCAGTAAACAAGCCACTCCTGCCATAATAACCGCCAGAATGGAGTACCCACGATGCATCACTGACCCATATATATAAATAGTCGAGGTAAAATTCAACACTCGCGGCCTGACGATTGCAAGGTTATCATGGTAACTAATTTTCTTTATATCTTTTCATTTATGTTTTGATAATGCCCACTTAAAAGGAGCGGAATGCCAGTAAGAAAATAAATTCATTATCTAATTGGTATTAACTTAAGCGAATATATATGTAAAATGGATTAAGTGTTTGCAATTTTTAGTGGATTTTTAAAATCCCATCCGACATTATTTCTTATTATAAACGCCATTTTTAGCGGGTACCCATATTTGAGTTGATATCGGATATATTTCTAAATAAATCTACTTTCATGAAAGTTTCCGTTTGTCAAAGATTTTTAAAACTTTGTCAGGATTATATATCCTAATTTTAAAACATACTTCTACACGAAAAACGCATGGATAAAAAATATCTTTCTACCCACTCTGAAGGGTTATTTCTTTCGATTTGAACTGAAAATAAAGAAAATAAATGTTAATGATTTTTGTAAAATCACTCATTTCCTTCCTTTTTTAATTCACGAGAAAAACCAGCTTGGGAAAAATAATAAGATTTCATTATTTACACATATACACCTACACACATTTCTTTCTTTCGCTTACGCATCTGATGAAGCCTTAAATGACAAAATGCATTATCGGAATATTTATAAACAAATCTACTTTCATGAACGTTTCCAACTGTCATATATATATATATATATATATATATATATATATATATATATATATATATATATATATATATATATATGACATATATTTATATATATATATATATAGATATATATATATATATATATATATATATATATATATATATATATATATATATATATATATATATATATATATATATATATATATATATATATATATATATATATATATATATATATTTATATATATATATATATGAGATATATATTCATATATATATATATATATATATATATATGATATATAAATTATATATTTATATATATATATATATATGAGATATAT